CAGTTCTAGTGCTTCATCTGAAACTTGCGCACATTTGACTTTTGAGATATCTTGGGCTTTTTGATATATTCTATTGTCAAATTTTCTTGGAACGCAACGTCTCTACTTCTGATCACCTTTTTCCCCTTTGGATCCCAATATATGTATCCAAACTCTTCATCTCCATAACCAATGAAAATGCACGGGATTGACCTCGCATCGAGGTTCTTCCTGAGCTCTTTGGATACATGTGCATATGCTACACAACCAAATACTCTGAGATGTGAGTATGTCGGATCCTTACCAGTCCATATTCTCTCTTGAACTTCAAAATTTAATGGAACTGAAGGTGATCGGTTGATTAGATAATATGCGGTCTTGACAGCTTCTCCCCAAAATGGCTTTGGTAATTTAGCCATATTCATCATGCTTCGGACACGCTCCATGATAGTCCGATTCATTCTTTCAGCAACACCGTTGTGCTGAGGGGTACGTGGTACTGACTTCTCATGTCGAATGTCATATGTCCTGCAATATGCATCGAACTCCATGGAAGTATACTCGCCTACATTATCAGATTGGAGACATTTCAGCTTCTTTCCTGTTTCGCGTTCCACCATGACGTGAAATGAATTGAAGTACTCAAACACCTGGTCCTTCTTGTTCAGAAAATATACCCACACCTTTCGAGAAGCATCATCAAAGAAAGTAAAAAAATATCTGCTTCCACCCAGTGATTCAACCTCCATGGGACCGCAAACATCAGAGTGCACCAAGCTTAACAACTTTGATCTCTTTGTTGAACTTGTACTGAATGATACTCTATGCTGCTTGCCGAACAGGAAATGACTGCAAGAATCCATCGCCGCACTCTTATCAACCTTGATAAGATCCTTCTTCATCAGAGTAGTCAGCCCTTTCTCACTCTTATGGCCGAGTCTCTGGTGCCATAGATCCTGGGAAACCTCCTCTACAACATTGATACTTTCTGTACTAATCTTCAAATGTTTCTTGTACAGCGTCCCACAAACATGTCCTCGGGCAATTTTCAGAACACTCTTTGCCAACTTCTATGTGTCTCCGCCAAAGTGATTTTTATATCCTTCTTTGTCAAAAGCCACCACTGACAATAGATTCAGCCTAAGGTCCGGGACATGTCAGACATCCTTTAATAAGATTGTACTCCCAGTTTCTGTTGTTGCCTGGATATCACCAATTCCGACAATTTGAGAGGAACTGGAATTTCCCATCTTCACCGATCCAAAGTCTCTAGCTTGGTATGTTGTGAAGTATTTCCTGTTAGGAGTAACGTGATAGGATGATACAATATCTACCACCCATTCCATGTCTTCTCTGGAGACATGAAGGCATGTCTCACCATGGTTAGAGCAATATGCTACATTACCTGAGACAGTGATGAGAGTTTCACCACCCTTGCCCTTGTTCTTCTGCTAAGAACTATTCTTCGGCTGAGAATTGCTCTTGCCCTGCTCCTCGAACCATTTATAGCAATTCTTTTTCATATGACCTTCTAGACCACAATGATAACACACATGTGATCTCCGATCATATAATTACCTCTCCTTGCTTCTACCTCTGCTCTTCCCTCTACCGCTTCTTTATTGCTTGCCTTGTGGTCTTCCTCGATTCTCCATCACAAGGGCATGAGTCTGATCTGTGCCTATGTCTTTCCTTCTTGCCTCTTCATTGAATAAGGCATACTTCACAAAGGACATGGAAAGTTTGCCGTTTGAGGCTGAATTGATGAGAGTAAAAATGAGTGTTTCCCAGCTATCAGGAAGGGAACTAAGAAGTAGCAGAGATTGCATTTCATCTCCAAGCGGCATCTCCACACAAGACAGGTGATTTACCAAGCTCTGGATCTCACTGGTATGCTCGACAACAGAAGTTCCACTTTTCAACATCATATTGACTAAGCGCCTCATCAATAAGGCCTTATTCCGAGCGGTCTTGGCCTGGTACATGTCCTCCAGCTTCCTCCAAAGGACATATGCATCGGTTTCTTGTGCAACATGATGGAAGACACTATGGTCTATCCATTGTCAGATTTGACTAATAATTTTTCTATTGATTTTCTTCCATTCTAATGCCTTGGACGGATCAGGGTAAATACCCTTCAGCTCTATTGGGTCAAAGAGCTCTTTACAGCTGAGGAAATCTTCCATCCGAGGTTTCCACAACGTATAGTTGGTAACCGAGCATAATCATAGCTCCAGAAGATGAAGTTGACTCTTCCATGGCCATTTTACACCTTCAACGATCTGTTTGGAACAAATCAAAGCTGAATTTTGAAAAATAGACAGCACCGTTGCATTCGGAACAGTCGAAAATGGGGGGAAGTTTTTCTTTTTTTTATTATTTATGACGTGACAGTCAACCGATGACGTGACATTGACTTGTTGATGTGGCAGCTGACTGGAGTTCTGACTTGGTGGCTGACTTGGTTGCTGGCGTGGCAGTTGACTGGGCCTTCTTTACTGACGTGGCGATGACATGTCAGATGATGTGGCGACACGTCATCATCTTCTTTCTCAAGATTTTTTTCTTAGAACTTCAAACGGCTTTTTGGGGCAGCTTCGATGTCCGTTTTTCGCCCGTAAGATATCACTGCGACCGTCTCGACGAGAAGAATCTAACGGTGTCCTTGAAATTGATTTTCGAGCACAACTCAGAAACTCGAAATTCTTACAGAACCTCAGAAAAATTCAAATTAAGCTCGAAAGCTTCAAACCAAGCTCTGATACCACTTGATGTGATATCACCCCAAGATCATAAACATAATTGAGAGAATAACAAGTTTCTATTACTCACAAGAATAAAAACAAGAAATTTACAAACTCTAAACAAAAAAACTCTCAAACTCTCCACAACTCTTTCTTGGTTGTGTTTCAACACTCTCAAGGTTGATTGATCACACTCTTGGATGATTCGAATGAATGAAATGAGAATCCTATCTATAGATACGAGCAAGCACACCGTCGTTGACAATTGTGTGTGAATGAGAAGGGTTGGTGAAGGGTGTATAGGGGGAAATATCAAAACTAGTCCCGTTGTATTCGGGTTTTCCACTGTTAGTCCCATTGGAATTATGTTTATCAAAACCAGTCTTCTAACTTTTTAAATTCAATCAAAATAAGGACACTTGTTGCCGGAACTACCTTTTCCGGCCCGAAAGTGACACGTCATGCCGACGTGTCTTATTATTATTACAGCTGGCCCATTTTACTCCTACGTGGCGAATGACATGGAAAAAATATCAAAAGCAGTCCCATAAGTATGGAGATATATCAATTTTGATCCCACTACAAATAACTTTCTTTTTTTTTTCAAAATTGAAAGAAAAAAAATATTCTCATTATTAAGATTTACCTCATCTTTATTGATCTATCAATAATATTATAAACTACAATATGTAATATTTCCATAAGATACTTTAAATTTTTTAAACATTATTAATATTAGGATAATATAAAAATAAACATATTGATTTTAAAATGTTAAAAATAAGATTTAGGTAATCAAATAATGTTTTGGCAATTCCTACAAACTTTACAACCAAATGACATATTATTGTTCTCATAAAATATTGATATAACAAAACAAAAAATATTCGTGTATAGTTATGCATTTGCAATATATAATAATAATAATAATAATAATAATAATAATAATAATAATAAATGAATGAATGAATGAATGAATGAATGAAAGAATGATAGATTAAACAACAATGAAAAGAAAATGTATTTTAAAAACATGGTGATGCATATCAAAATACCATGATATTAAGGATATTTTATAAAATGATTTTAGGGTTAGATTCGTCCAATGCAATTTTTTTAAGAAATCAAGATCAATTTCAAATAAATTTCTTAAAATATTTTTTATTATTTATTTGGTAAAAGTTTATTTTTTATTTAATATTAACTGAAATAATTTCCGTATTTGTAAAAATGTGGTATGCCTTAAAAGAATTTCAAAATATTCGTATTTCAGCATGTGTAAAAAAAAGGGTTAATTGCATAAAAAACCACTACCTTTTGTTTAATTGCAAATAAAACTCAACCTTTTCAATTTGGCAAAAAAATACCTAACTTTTATTAAGTGTTGCAATTTTGTCTCGTCTGCCGGACCGCCGCCGCCAACCATCACCCGTCGCCGTTAACTTCGCCGGATATTGAAAATTTTTATATGATCTTGTAGCTCTCTTCCGTGCCGACAACATATCCGTGTTTCACAAAAAAAATTCGACGATAAGACGTCCAATTTTCCGGTCAAAGGTCGTAGATCTAAATTTTTTACGACCTTTGACCGAAAAATTGGACGTCTTCTCGTCGAAATTTTTTCGTGAAACTCGGATATGTTGTTGGCACGGAGGAGAGCTACCAGATCATATAAAAATTTTCAATATCCGACAAAGTTGGCGGCGGCGGGTGGCGGTTGGCGGCGGTGGTCCGGCGGACGAGACAAAATTGCAACATTTAATAAAAGTTAGATATTTTTTTGCCAAATTGAAAAAGTTGAGTTTTATTTGCAATTAAACAAAAGGTGGTGGTTTTGTATGCAATTAACCCAAAAATAAATTAAA